TTATTAAAACATAGTAAACATATTGTTACATATAAAGTGTCTGATAATGCCAATTTCTGAGGTTTTCATGGGTCTTTCCTGCTAGCTGTCTTTCTACTGGTTCTTGCTCATGGTTCCTAGTTTCCTTGTGTACCTAATTAACTTCAAGTACTCAGGTACTGTCAGGTACTGTTGGAATAATTTTTGACCTTGGAAAATGATAACTTTCTTCAGAGACCTGAGATCATTACTGGATTCTTAAACCAGGTTCAAGGTTTGATACTCTCTGGACATTCAGATGAGGAACACTTTGACTATAAATCCATGTACTTTTGCTTCTGGATTACACTCACTCTGAGGGTGTGGTTTTTTGAGATCCCAGCTTTCTATATATGGGGTCTCTCATACTCTCAACTTGTGTTGGTCCTGGGCCCTTATCACTCCACGTGGTTCTCGCTAGAACTAGCAGATGCCCTTGAGCAAAAACCACTTCTTTTCTCATGAGCTTCACTGTGTGCCCATTTTCCTTCCAGTTAGGCCTAGTAAGTCTTTGCTATCTTGTCTTTTCAGTGCTTTTAAGAAGATGCTCTTTATATTTTATCCAGCATTTTAAGCTGTTTCTAGTGGAAGATAGTTTCTGAATAACCTAGCCTGCCAAAACTCTCAAATATTATTTAAGCAAAGTGTATTATTCCCTTTCCTCCCAGAAGACCTCACTTTGCAAACTCAAAGCCAGAAGATGCTCCTGTTTGCATTGTGTCATTTCTTCCCTGAGGCAATAAACTAAGAATCTCCAAGATTAAGTGAGAAAGGGGCTATCGGATAACAGAAAGTGCCCTCCCCAACACGGATACTATCATGAAAGATTTTCTACCACATACGTAAACTGCCTAACATGCTTTCCAGGACATCATCAAGGCTCAGTAAATAGTTTGTGTTGTCATTATTACTATTTCTATATCCAAACTCACCTTGTTTAGGAAGCCTTCCTTTAATAACCTTGTCCCATTCTAATCTCTTTCATTTACTCTGTTTTCTCCAAGTACTTTATTTATTTATTTATTTATTTATTTATTTATTTATTTAATTTTGAGACAGGGTCTCATTCTGTCACCCAGGCTGGAGTGCCGTGGTGCCATCTTGGCTCCCTGCAGCCTCTACCTCCTGGGCTCAAGCAATTCTCCCACCTCAGCCTCCCAAGTAGCTGGGACTTACAGGCATGTGCCACTACTCCTGGCTAATTATGTTTATTTTTTGCAGAGACAATGTCTTACTATGTTGCCCAGGCTAGTCTTGAACTCCTGGGCTCAAGCTATCCTCCTGCCTTGGCCTCCCAAAGTGCTGGGATTACAGGCATAAGCTACCACGGCCAGCCTCTCCAAGTATTTGTTTTACCCTCATGATAGCTTATTGATTTACTCTAGTTGTTTTTTTCAAATACGCACTATTTCTCAGGAAAAAGCAATGACAGAACATCCCCCAGAAGCCTTTGAGGGTGTCTAAGTCTTCTGTTTCTTTCTTTGTTTCTTTGTTTGTTTCTTTCTTTTATTTATTTTTGAGATGGACTTTCACTCTTGTTGCCCAGGCTAGAGTGCAGTGGCATGAGCTTGGCTCACTGCAACCTCCACCTCCCAGGTTCAAGTGATTCTCCCACCTCAGCCTCCCAAGTAGCTGGGACTACAGGCATGTGCCACCACGCCCAGCTAATTTTTTGTATTTTTAATAGAGATGGGGTTTCACCATGTTGGCCAGACTGATTTCGAACTCCTGACCTCAGGTGATCTGCTCGCCTCAGCCTCCCAAAGTGCTGGGATTATAGGCATGAGCCGCTACATCCGGCCAAGTCTCCTGTTTCTTTGTTAACTCTGATTATCAATTAGAATTCTTTCAGCTGCAAGTGACAGAAGACTCAATTCAAACTGCATTAAGCAAAAAAGCCATTCTATTGGTTCATGTAACTCAAAAACCAAGTGGTAGGTCTTCAGCTACAGTTTGATCCAGGGATGCAATGAATGTTAGGAGAACCTGGTCTTTTTAGTCGTAGTGGCTATTTTACCTTTTATTTTGGCTTCATCTTCAGGCAGCTCCACTCTGCATGGTAGCATCCAGAATCTCCACACTTATATCCTCACAGTGCCAAAGGCAGTGGGAAAGAGTTTCTAACTCCAGCAAAAGTCCCAGGATTCACCCCATTGGACTAATTCTGTCAATGCCCACTTCAATGTGGCCAGAGCTATTTGGCATGCTAATTGGCTACATCTGAACCAGAGGAATACTTAATGGAAAGCACAGTTGAGCCCTTCCGAAAATCATGTGCTGCAGGTGAATTGAGGGAATGTGGTTTCCTAAAGGAAAACATAGAAGTTTGCCAAAAGAGGGGTAAATGGATACTGGGTATGGAAAAGCAACAACTGTCCACTACAGTTCCCAATAGCTCACAGAAAAAGACTCAGTAATGTGGCCTGTGGTGCAGACTAAATTGCACTGACAAGGTGCTGGTTCTGTCCAGGCCCTTGATACATTTGCACAGATGCTGCTCCATCTAGCCACACACAAACAGGACAGAGCAGTTGTGTCCCATGATGGATATGAAGGCTGCTCTCTCAGCCTCCCAACTGCTCTGGCATAGGGGACCCTATTTGTGATTTATTCAGTAATGGGTCTCATCCAGGCTACTCTCTTGGCCTCCTGAAGCTGTTTTTCCTCCTTCTGATATAAAAATAACACTTAAACAGGATCCCCAACCCCATGTCCAAGACAAATCAGATCTCCAGAGATAGCAGCCAAATTCACCCTAGGGTCAGGGTGCAGGGTCCTTATTATATACCCAGTCTGCGAGTGAGCCAAGAAGTAGGGTTTCAAGAAATATGATGCCATGCCCAGAGGCTAAAATCCATCACCCAAGGAGTATTTATTACCCAACTGAAGCAAGTACCTTCTGCTGATTTGCCCTGCCAGAGGATGGGTGGGGGCAGGCTTATGGTCAGAGCAGGGTGGGAGATCTGAGAGGCAAAGGGCAGGTGCAGGGTCAGGGGAGGGGCAGGGCAGAGCTCTTCTTGAAAACTGGGAAGTCACTATGCTTTTAGTGTTGAGCAGCGCTGGTGTCTACCCCAAGTTGGAGTCCTCCTCCACTGCAACCTTGACAACAGCAGGAGATGGCTACTGAAGGGTCAGAGCCCTCCCGTGCCTGCCTGCCTGCCTGCCTTCAAAGTCTCATAGTTGGAGGTCTAGAGGGAGCAGGTCTGTGTGTTCCATAAAGCTTAGTGGTTATAAATGTGATGCCTGAGTCTGGGTTTGATTCTTGGCTCCATCCCACTAGCTTTGAGATTTTGATCAAGTTACTTAATCTATTTATGCCTTGGTTTTGTCATCTGTAAAACTGTAAGAGTAAAAGTATTTCCCTCATAGGGTTGCAAGGGATTACACGGGACACAGTGTGTAATGTGTTTTGCACAGTGTGTAGTAGACACTAAGCACTGCATGGACAGGCAGGGTCATTATCTACATATGTAATTCCTAATCCTACCTCAATCCTGCAACATAGATGTATTAGTTAGAGAGAGGCTTGGTTGCTATAACAAAGGTTCAATTTGTCAGCTGTTTAAACAAGACAGAAATTTAATTATCTCTAAAGTAACAATCCAGAGGTAGGCAGACCAGGACAGGGGTGGGGGATGTTCTATCATTTTCAAACTGCATTTTCCATCATTGGGTTCAGTTTGCTGCTCCGGCTCCCACCATCATATTGTAATTCTAGTCAGTAGGAAAGGGTTCCCTTTCCTCCTAAGGGCACCCTTATATCATGTAATATATATGCATATAACATTGCTGCTCAAATCTCATTGGTCAAACTTAGTCACGTGGCCATACTATCTGCGAAAGAAGCTGGGAAATATAATCTTGTATTCAGTTAAAATTGTGGCGATTTACTAATAGCAGAAGAAGGGGAGAAGAGATACTGCTCTGCTAGAGCTCACCCATCTGGCCATCCCACACAAAAAACACAATTACTGCCCTTCAAAAGGAGGCAAGTCAGAGTTCCATCTGGATATAGCACCCAGCTTAGAGTCCAGGGGTGGGCAGTTCCTTCTTCCACATAGATGGACACCCCATGGTCTGGTGACCTAAAAACTAACAGGCATGTGATTTGCACCCCTTAGACAACAGTGGAGGAAGAAGAGGGTAAGCTCAATGAAAACATCTACTCATGCTGGGCACACTGCTATGCACCTGTAGTCCCAGCTACTGAGGTAGGAGGATCACTGAGCCCAGGAGTTTGAGACTAGGCTGGACAACATAGTGAGACAGTCTCAAAAAAAAAAAAAAAAAAATTCCACTTGCAACTGAAAGAATGGCAAACACCCAGCAGCTGCTGGACCTTAATTATCAAATCTGGTTGGGCAGGAATGGCAAAGCCCCTTCCTGGCAGTGGATTAAGTTCTTGGTCAGCACATTTGACCACTCCTGGTTCCGCTCTCTGGGAAGGTCTCCCCTTTCCACTCTCCTATGTAGTCTCTGGCTTTGCCTGCTGGGAAGCTGTTCCTTATCCAATACCCTCTGTCCTGCACTGGCAAACTTGTGCTTTTTGCAGTCGTTCCAGCCTTCACAGCCCTCTTCCTGCTGGTGCGGATTTGGAGGGCTGGGAATAAGGCAAGGGAGTGGTGTCAAACCAGGCTTTGCTGATCAGGTTTATGGTTTCTTTGCCAATACAACACCCTCACAATCTTAGAAGCCTTCTGACTGGCTCCATGTTTGAGTAACCACAGCCAATGGCTTCAGGTAGACCTTATTTTTATGCTTGAATACTCTGGACTTGGTGTTCTTCCTACTCTCCTTTCTCTCAAACTGGTGGTGACTATCTTGAGTCCATTTGAAAAAACATGCTTCATGTGAAGGAAATTCTCCCATGCTGATCTCTGTCCACTGAGCCAGTTCCTACGGTCTGGTGAGCAGATGTCCTTGAGAAAGGCTGGGGACCACAGGAACAGCCCTGGCCAAGGCTGTCCTCCCGACTCCATTCTCCTCCACCCTCCCCCTTGCCAGAGTAGGAACATTGAGGGTTGATGGAAAACACATGTAATAAATTCAGCCAGAAATCCACCAGTCTGTTGTTGAGTGTCCACTCCAGGGCCAGGGCTGGGATGGAAGAGGCTGGAAGGAGGATAGAAAGGGAGGGGCAGAGAGAGGAAAACCGGAGCAGCTGGGTCAGCATTCCCGATGCGGACATTGACTCAGGCTCCGGGAATGCCAAGGAAGGGGGTGGCAGCTGCCGGAGCCAGGCTGGGATCCTGTTGGCACCAGGGATGTAGGCACAGCACTCACAGAGGGATGGGGGCTGGGACACCTGCACACCCAGACATATCTCCCAACCACAGGTGGAAACAGGTGTCTCTTCCCCTGCGGGGAGCTCTGAGTGCTCCCCACGCCTTCGAGGTGATTCTCACAGCTCTTCACCTGCCTGAAACACCCACTCCACCTCCTCCACCTGAGAGAGGGACAGGCTCCAGGGACTCAAATCTGGACATCTGGACATACATTGGCTGCTCTCCTGGAACTACCCACAAACCCCTTGCCTCATCTCTAGACTCTGAGCTGGCTGCAACTTGCCCTTTCTAACTCCAGCACCACCCTCTACTGAAATTAGAACAAGGAAGACAGTTACACTGACCTGCCTCCATGTTCCCTGCTTTGGTGCCTGATAATGATGAGGGAGGCCCTTGGAATAGGGGCTCAGAACTCTGAGAGCCCAACTCTGCCCAGCGCCCATGCTCCCACATGCTCCAAGCCACCTCCCCCCATAAAGGGTTCCTCTAGCTTGTCCTCAATGACCCAGGAGGGAGCTGAGGACCAAGCACCCAGATTATCAGGTGTGCCCCTTCCCTCCCAGCAGCCCCAGCCTTCGGGGCTGGAGCAGCTGAGCAAGTAGGGGCCCCTCCCTCTCGTTGCCTGACACCCAATCAGAGAGAAACGGATCCTGGCAGGGCAGGGTGCCCGGGGCTGGGCCCAGAATAGTGCGGCCCAGTCACAGTGTTGCACACTTGCTCTCCGTTGGTCTGGGGCTGGCCACATGGAGCCAGAGCTGGAGCACGCACTGCACAGGGTATGGGGGTCCCAGGGGAGCTGGAGCCGGGGCAGCTGAGGCCAGAAGATTGAGAGCACGTGCTGTGAATGTGTGTCTGTGCGTGTGTGTTTTTGGTGTGTGTTTGGTCTGGATTTTCTCGTGAATATGGGCATGTGCGTGTCTGGGCATATGTATTGTGAGTGTGTGTGGTTCTGTGTGCCTGGGAGCGTTTGGATGTGTGTCTTTCTGTGTGTGTTTGTGTATGGCCGTGTGACTGAGCATGTGTATTGGTGTGCATGGGTATGTGGGCGTGTGTGCAGGGAGAAGGGGTCTGGGAATGTAAGGCACTTTCCCCACTCCTTCAGAAAGTCTTCTCCCCACAGACCCCTTCCTGGAGCAGCCTTGGGGGTTCTGAGCATCAAGGTAAGGAGACTGCCCCCTCCCTGGGGCCTAACCTCTTCCCCCACTTCCTTGTCCCCCACTTTTCTGGGACCACATTCCCTTCCAGCCTGGCTTTTATCTTCCTCCTTTTGGTCCTTCTTCCTTATTGTTCTTCCTCCTTTCCCCAGGTGTGTTTCCCTCACCTCCTCCTTCCTCGTTTCAGAAGTGACTTTCCCACTTGCTGTGTGATTTGCGGCAAATTGCTTAACCTCTCTGAATTTCTGGTCCCTCACTAGCAAAACAGGGATGATAATAATGCCTGCCTTATAAGGCTGCTGTAAGTTTTAAATGAGAAATATGTTGGAGAAAAGCCCATTGGAAGCTTGCAAATCCTAAAGATTATGAATAACATTTGAATTGATTTTTCTGTATTATTCCCTATTAATCAAACAGGCCCCATTCCCCTTCCAGAGATGAGCTTCCTAGAGCAAGAAGACAGCAGCTCATGGCCATCACCAGCTGTGACCAGCAGCTCAGAAAGAATCCACGGGAATTGGAGGGCCAAGGCCTCGAGATGGACAAGGCAGGAGGTGGTGGAGGAAGGGGAGCCACCGGGTCAGGGGCAAGGTGAGGCCAAGGCCAGTTCTGGGGAGATGGGAGCCAGAGCAGTGGGAAGTCCCAGAGGAGCCTGGATCTGGGCTCTCACTCGGGTCCCTCCATAAAACACAGAGTTGGAGCCAACCCTCATCTTGTGGCCTCAGTCTCCCTACGTGGTAGAGAACAACTGCACTGCAGTGCCGGGGGGCCAGAATGGCCAACTCAGAAAGATGGGACAGAGCCACTGTCTGGGGTGACTCTCAGGTCAGCCTCTCACCTGCAAAATAGGGCCACAGCATCCAGGTTTCCAAAGGCTGCTGTGAGATGAACGGCGACAGCAGATGAGAACGTGCTTTGGAAGATGGAGTTACTGTCCTCTTCCCCTCCTCCCCCAAACAGGTCCCCGGTCCAGGCCAGCTGCTGAGTCCACCGGGCTGGAGGCCACATTCCCCAAGGCCACACCCTTGGCTCAAGCTGATCCTGCCAGGGTAGGCACTCCACCAACAGGGTGGGACTGCCTCCCCTCTGACTGTATGGCCTCAGCTACAGGCTCCAGCACAGATGATGTGGAGCTGGCCACGGAGTTCCCAGCCACAGAGGCCTGGCAGTGTGAGCTAGAAGGCCTGGTTGAAGAGAGGCCTGCCCCATGCCCGTCCCCGCAAGCCCTATTTCCCAAGCTGGGCTGGGATGACGAACTGCAGAAACCCGGCGCCCAGATCTACATGCGCTTCATGCAGGAGCACACCTGCTATGATGCTATGGCAACTAGCTCCAAGCTGGTCATCTTCGACACCACGCTGGAGGTGAGGCCATGGCTCTGCCCAACCTGCACTTGCTCTGCATCCACACAGTGCTGCAGCTACCACTCCCACCCTGCAGGATGCCCTGCCAAGCCAGGTGCCCCTGCAAGCCCCCTGAAAGGACCCCTTCTTAGCACTATGGAGGCCATTTGGGGGAGGGAGAGCTTCTACTCTCTGTGAGCACACATAATTTTCATCGCAGCTCTGCCACTTAGTATCTGTAGGACTTTGAGTTGCTTTACCTTTCTTGTCTCTAAAATGGGGATCAAAATGCCTGCTGCACCCTACATAGTTCAGAAGATTCTTGGACTACCCAGTATAAAGCATGAGCAAAGTATGTGTAAGACATTGCAAAGGCCTGGCACAGTAGCTCACATCTATAATCCCATCAATTTGGGAGGTCAAGGCAGGCAAATCACAAGGTTAGGAGTTCGAGACCAGTCTGGCCAACATGTTGAAACCCCATCTCTACTAAAAAAAGAAAATACAAAAAAATTAGCCGGGTGTGGTTGCAGGTGCCCATAATCCCAGCTACTCAGGAGGCTGAGGCAGGAGAATCGCTTGAACCTGGAGGCGAAGGTTGCAAGTGAGCCGAGATCGTGCCATCGCACTCCAGCCCGGGTGACAGTGCGAGACTCCATTAAAAAAAAAAAAAAAAGACATTGCAGAGTCACTTAGAACAAAGAATAGGGGACTGTTTTGTCAACAGAAAAAAATAGTGAGCTCTGGCACCTTCTCTTCCATTAGGCTAAGCTATAAACATCTATAATCTTATTTTTATCATTGTTGTGCCATGCAGCCTTTCCCTAAACATGGTGTATGTATTGTCCATAGCACATGTTTTGATTCTAGTGGTTCTTGAACAAATATGCCTATTTCAGTAGCTTTGTGTTTGTTTTAGGGTGTGTTAAAAAATATAACCAGCATGTGCAGATAGTACTGTTTAGGACAAGGCACAAAATGAGTCAATATAAAATTTATCTACAAAACAGTATGTAGATATGCAAATGTTATGGAAATAACTATGCCTCCGGTACTTAGGCTATCAAAAACTAGACTGTGTCTGTACACACACGCCCTCCAAATGGAAACATGAAGTTAGAATTTTTCACTCCCTGGTGTGCCAGGTGAGGGGCTCAGTGTCTCAGGCCACAGCCTTATCTATGTACCACATGTCCGCAGCAATGGTCATGTCTAGCGTGTACTGTGTCATGAGAAAGACAGGCCAGCTGGTATAGAGGAGGGTCCAGGAGAAGGCCCCATGGAAGAACCCTGGGTGAGACAGGGAGGGGACAGCAGGCAGATGGGAGGTGCCCACTGAGGGGCAGAGAGGAGGGTGAGGGTCTCTCGGGACCCACCCTTGACTGTTCTCCCTGGCCCCTCAGATCAAGAAGGCCTTCTTTGCTCTGGTGGCCAACGGTGTGCGGGCAGCCCCTCTATGGGACAGCAAGAAGCAGAGCTTTGTGGGTGAGGAGAGGCTGGGGAGGTGAAGGGAGATGGAGAAGGGGAGGTGGGGACCTCGTACGGTTGTTCTGGGGCCAATCTCTGATATAGCACAAGCTTGGCTTCAGGCCAAGCCCAGCCAGGGGCCAGGGTGGGGGAAAGTCCATCCCGAGTCTGCGTGGCCAGCTGGGAGACCCTGGGGCTCAATTTCTCCATCTGTGGAGCCGCTGTGACCAGCTGACACTTTCCAGCTCTGCTACTGCATGGCCCCATGCTGTAGGTGCTAGGGAGCAAATGCGGGGAGGCAGGAGAGAAAGAGCCCCATTTATCAGGCCTGGGGGGCTGTCCCACTGTCCTCTTCCCACAGTCCCCACTGTGTCTCAGTGCAAGGAAACTGGCAGGGTGGGGAGGGGATCTGATCCTCAACCTGCTTCCCACCCAAAGGCCCCAAGCTGACCTCCTCCCCCCCCTCCCCTGCAGGGATGCTGACCATCACTGACTTCATCCTGGTGCTGCATCGCTACTACAGGTCCCCCCTGGTGAGGAGTGGGCTGGGAATCTTATGAGCACCCAGAGGGGCGGGGGCAGAGGGAAGTCCTCCTGGAGCCTGGTGCCCTAGAAGCCCACGTCTGTCTGACTTCTGGAGTCCTGTTGATATCTCTAGGTCCAGATCTATGAGATTGAACAACATAAGATTGAGACCTGGAGGGGTGAGTGGGGAGAGGAACCCGGAAAGGGGCTGTTGGTGAGGGTGGGCCAGGGCCTAAGGCGGAGGATGGGCAGGGGGGATGTCCTGGAGCGAACAGGGGAGGGACAATAGGAGCCCCGGGTGCCTGAAGGAAGGGAAGCTGCCTGGGACTGCAAGGCGAGGCAGGTGACCAGCTCCCCTGGCCTGACTCTGGCTCTTTCTGCAGAGATCTACCTGCAAGGCTGCTTCAAGCCTCTGGTCTCCATCTCTCCTAATGACAGGTGGGTGTCCCCGCTCATTCACCTGTGCCTCCTCCTCCCACAGTCCCCTTCCCCAGTCCCACTCAGCTCTGAACTCAACCTCTTCATCCTAGGCGACACACGGACAAGGGAGCCTTGGTGCTCTGCCCTCCTTTTTAGGCGGCTGGGATGGAGGGTGTCTCTCCCCAGGCTGCCTCGAGGCTCACTGCTCCCATCTCTGCAGCCTGTTTGAAGCTGTCTACACCCTCATCAAGAACCGGATCCATCGCCTGCCTGTTCTGGACCCGGTGTCAGGCAACGTACTCCACATCCTCACGCACAAACGCCTGCTCAAGTTCCTGCACATCTTTGTGAGCTTGGGCCCAGGTGGGAGGAAGCGGGAGAAGGGTGATCAGAGGGCCTGAGGAGTCTTCAGCCCTAGGAATCGGCGGGAGGAGCTGGGAGCCCTCTTGAAGCTGCTGGATCCCTGATCTCCACCGGGTCCCCTTCCTAACCAGGGTTCCCTGCTGCCCCGGCCCTCCTTCCTCTACCGCACTATCCAAGATTTGGGCATCGGCACATTCCGAGACTTGGCTGTGGTGCTGGAGACAGCACCCATCCTGACTGCACTGGACATCTTTGTGGACCGGCGTGTGTCTGCACTGCCTGTGGTCAACGAATGTGGTACCCAGCACAGGATGAGAGGCTTGGGCTGGGCTGGGGCCTGGGAGAACCTGGTAGGGGAGAATATGGGAAGGGCAGGGGTTCCCATGCCATCCCTGTGGGGGGTACAGGATGGACTATGGATTAGAAGTCTCCATCTGCTCTGAGACTTGGGCCGGTTGCTTAGCCTCTCTGTGCCTCAGTTTCCTCCTTTGTGAAATGGGATTCTTCACAACACTCATCTTTCTGACTTCACAGGAGGATTTAAAAGGTTATATGCACAAAAATGAGCGTAGTGACAGGAAGCAGCAGATTTTAGTTTTAGTTCATCTTAAAATGGAGCCAGGCACGTGGTGCACGGCTGTAATGCCAGCACTTTGAAAGAGGCCAGAGCGAGAAGGTAGCTTGAGACCAGAAGTTTGAGTTTACATACAATGACACTTCAGGCTGGGCAACAGAGCAAGACCCTCCTGTCTCTAAAATAATAATAACGAAATAATAAAATTTAAAAAGTAAAATGTGCCATGGGACCTCGGGCCCCTAGCCAGACCTCAGTTTCCTACACTGAAAAAGGGCTAGAGGGACGACAAGATTATTTCTTTGGTTGAATGATGGCTATGAAATATTTCAAAGCTAAAATCACCATAATTAAGATAGATATCAAGAACTGTTTTCAATTTATTTTTGATTATATAAAACTTCAAACGTATGAAAATGGTACAAAGAAATTGCATAATGAACCACCTATATCCATTGCCTAGATTAACTACTGTTACTGTATTGCCATAAACAGTTCATCTCTTCTCTGAAGTAATTCAAAGTAAATTACAGACATCGTGTCATCTCACCCCTAAACATTTTAGTCTGCACCTCTTAAAACAAGTGTATTTTTGGCCAGGGGCGGTGGCTCACGCCTGTGATCCCAGCACTTTGGGAGGCCAAGGTGGGCGGATCACAAGGTCAAGAGATCGAGACTATCCTGGCCAATATGGTGAAACCCTGTCTCTACTAAAACTACAAAAAAAAATTAGCTGGGTGTGGTGGCACACACCTCTAGACCCAGCTACTTGTGAGGCTGAGTCAGGAGAATCACTTGAACCTGGGAAGCGGAGGTTGCAGTGAGCCAAGATCACGCCACTGCACTCCAGCCTGTTGACAGAGCAAGACTCCAAAAAAAAAAAAAAAAAAAAAAATGCATTTTATACCACCAAACAAAACCATGAATAATTCATATTATTGTCTGGTATCCAGTCCTTATTCTCACTTCTCCATTTCCTCAAGAATGTTGGGCTTTTTTGTTGTTGTTTTGAGACGGAGTCTCGCTCTGTCACTCAGGCTGGAGGGCAGTGGCACCATCTCGGCTCACTGCAACCTCTGCCTCCCGGGATCAAGCGATTCTTGTGCCTCAGCCTCCTGAGTAGCTGCGATTACAGGCAACCCCCACCACGCCCAGCTAATTTTTGGGGGGTGGTATTTTTAGTAGAGATGAGGTTTCACCATATAGGCCAGGCCGGTCTCCAACTCCTGACTTCAAGTGATCCACCTGTCTTGGCCTCCCAAAGTGCTGGGATTACAGGCATGAGCCACCACGACCGGCCAAGATTTTTTTTTTTTTTTTTTTTTTTTTTTTTTGAGACAGAGTCTTGCTCTGTCGCCTGGGCTAGAGTACAATGGTGCAATCTTGGCTCACTGCATCCTCCACCTCCCGGATTCAAGCAATTCTCCTGCCTCAGCTTCCCGAATAGCTGGGTTTACAGATGCATGCCACCACACCTGGCTAATTTTTTGTATCTTTAGTAGAGATGGGGTTTCACTATGTTGGCCAGGCTGGTCTTGAACTCGTGACCTTGTGATCCGCCCACCTCGGCCTCCCAAGGGAATGTATTTTTTATAGTTGATGTGTTCAAAACAGGACCCAACTGAAGTCCATGGTTTACACTCGTGTCTTTTGTTCCTTAAATCTCTTTAAATCTAGAACAACCCCATTCCCCCTAAATTGTTATGACATGGGTGAGTTGAAAAGCCCGGGTCAGTTGTCCTATAGGATACCCCACATCCAGATTTGTCTGTTTGCTTGCTAGAGCTGGCCTTTACTTTGTTCTCTAGTCCTGTGTTTCCTGTAAACTGAAATTATATCTAAAGACTTGAAGAGATTTGGGCAATAAATTCAAGGCTAGACTATTTCGTAGGTGATGCCGTGTTACTCACACTGCATTTCCTCAGGATGTTCGACGTCAGGTTGTCTCACTCTGGGATGCTAAGTTTGATCCTTGGGTTCTGATAGTGGCACCCTGATGCAAATAGCCCTAGGCCCTCTACACAGCACCCTGGTTCTGATCGGAGGCTCTTCCCTGTCTTTCTCTCCCTGCCCCCACCCGCCACTCTCTGCAGGTCAGGTCGTGGGACTCTATTCCCGCTTTGATGTGATCGTAAGTGTCCCTGGAAAGGTGGGATGCTGTAGGGAGACTAAGGGTGTGGGAATGGGTGGGGGGCCTCTGTCAACCAGGGGAACCTTGACAAGTATGCAGGGGTTGACATCTGGGGTAGGAGCCCAGGCAAGGGGGTGACTAGGAGCCATGTTTCTCTATCTGCCCCAGCACCTGGCTGCCCAGCAAACCTACAACCACCTGGACATGAGTGTGGGAGAAGCTCTGAGGCAGAGGACACTATGTCTGGAGGGAGTCCTTTCCTGCCAGCCCCATGAGAGTTTGGGGGAAGTGATCGACAGGATTGCTCAGGAGCAGGTACCCTGTGACCTCCATTCATGCCCACAACACATATAGCCCAGTCCTTCTCATGAACGGCTCCAGCCATCCCTGAACATCGGGGCACCTGGCCTATCCTTCCATTTCATGACCAACTCCTGGTGCCCACACTGGCCTGCACTTTGTCCTGTCCATGGGCCCCTTATGCCAGGGGTCGCTGCCAGCTGATCGCCCAAGGCCGGTCACAGCCATCCCTAACTGGCTCCTAGGAAACACTCTCTCCCCAGGTGATGGTGGGTTGTTTCTCCTGATTCTTGGCACCAACCTCAGTAGCTGCTGTAGCCCCATGGCTCTGCCCCCTCACTGAACACTATGGACCCACAGGTACACCGGCTGGTGCTAGTGGACGAGACCCAGCATCTCTTGGGCGTGGTGTCCCTCTCCGACATCCTTCAGGCACTGGTGCTCAGCCCTGCTGGCATCGATGCCCTCGGGGCCTGAGAAGATCCGAGTCCTCAATCCCAATCCTCTTCCACACCTGGAAGACAATGAAGGGAGCCAGGGAACTCAGCCTTCATCTTCCCCCACCCCCATTTGCTGGTTCAGCTATGATTCAGGTAGGCTCTGCCCTGGGCCATGACACCAGCCTCTTAGTCTTCCTGATTTCCTGGATCTCAGATTGGGACGCCCTGAGGACGGGAGTGGCCAAGCTCAAAGCTGAGCAGCCCTGTGAAAACTACAAGTGTAAGGACTTGCATGTCCCCACTTTGTCCCATTTTCAGCTGAGGTCATGGAGACTCTCCTAGGAGGGAGGGACAGAGCCCTGGCTAAAGGCTAAGGCAGCGATGTGACTTCAGACACTCTGGGAAGATTTCCTTGTTCCCTCACAATTCAATTCCCACCTGCTGGGAATTCCATTAGAAGGAAGCAAGTTACCTAAACCTTTGTTGGATGGAATTTCCATTCCCAGTAAGAACTAAAGCTTAAAGGAAGGAGCTTCTACTTACATGCTCATCTCAGGAAATGTGACATGATCTCAGACTCTTTCCTGGTCACATGTTTGCTAGGGGCTTGCAGAGGATGGGCACAGATTCTGTCTACTCGCCATGGCTGGCAAGAGTCCCCTGTTGGAAAGGCAGCTGCCCCTCCTACGTGGTCACCATCTTCCCTTTTCTTTTCCTCACAGGCTTCTTCAGCCTTCCCAGATTGCCCTTGCCCTGCCTGTGTTCCCAGAAGCCCTTGGACATGCCCAGTGCACCATGGCATGATGAAATTAAGGAGAACAGCTGAGTCAAGTCTGGAGGTCCCTGAACCAGAGGCACTAGGATTACCCCAGGGCCATCTGTGCTCCATGCCCACTCATCCCCTTGCAGCCTAACTGGGTCAGACGGCCCCAGTGGGTTTAGTCAGGGCTTCTGGATTCCTCGATTTCTGGGCTACCTATGGCTCCAGCCTTCAGCTCCTGGGAGTCCCAGTTGTTGTTCCCAGCAATGTCGCCACTGCCCTCCTACTCTCCAGGCTTTGTCATCTCAGGGCTGCTGAAATGCTGCTTTTCAGGGGCCACCATGGAGCAGCTGTTATTTATAGAACTGCCTGTTGGAGGTGGGGGCCCTCCCTCCATTCTTGTCCAGAAAACTCCTTAGCTCTCGCAGTGAGCAGTGTTCTGTGTCCCCAGAGATGGATGGCCTTGTATATAGACCCCTATGAATGAGCAATTGAAAAAAAACACAACAAAAGGAACAATCCACGAACTTAGATTTTATAGGTTTCTCTCAAAATGCTGCAGCCTTTGACCTGAACTTGTGGCAAGAGCCTTGTGCTTTCTGAATTCAAAGACAAAAAGGAAATTTGACAAAAATCGCAAGTGGCATTTCTTTTGCATGTAGTGCTATTCTACTGAAATTTCTTTCTTCTCTTTTCTTTACAAAATTGTAAAGAAAATATTAATTCATTGCTTATATAGTAGGTACAACTCGGCCTACAAACTCTAATCTGCAAGAAGCATAACTTTATTTTTCTAACACAGAATGTAATTTCTATTAGGAATCCCGTTTCACCAGGTTTTAGAAATTAATCTCAGTCAATTCAGAGTCTCCCCCGACCTTTTCCTGGGGTTAAGCTTGGTGGGGTAGGGGGGGGTGGCTTTAAGTCATGTAAGACTCTGGTCCTCAGCCATCATCATCTGTCCATTTCAGCACCTGCTTGGACATCCCATCTGGTCATCAGTTGGTCGTGCATGGTCTGCCAGGGGCTCCTTCACGTCCACAAAGCCTCTTTGGGGGTCTGTGGCTTGGAGCATGTGGAACATTCTAGCTCCTGGCCCTGCACACCCTCTGGCTTCAGGAAGCTCAGTGATTCTGTTCCAGGCCAACTGCTAAGATACAGAGCCCAGTCACCTGTTCCGCTCTGTGGCTTGCTGTTTTCCCAGGCTCTTCCCAGGAAGCGTGTGGGTTCTTCTACCCAGTGCTTGCCCACCCTTATCACCTCCAAACCTGTATGGTGTATTTGTCATACTTTCCCCCTCTTTAGCCACAACCTCCTTCTCAGGGTCCTTTTCTCAAGGATTCCAGAAATGTCAACAGTCGCCTTGCTCTCCAAGCCCTGCCAACCCATGGAATCTTGACCAGTCGGGGAGAGAAGGGGCTTTTATTCTGTAACCCATCATATATTCTTCCAAATGCACTGTAAGTGTCCCGAGTTCTTGCCATCCACCTTCAGAATCAAGCCTTTGAAATTCTGAAGCCAAGGCTCGCTTCTGCTATGTCACCTTCCCTGTGGCAACGGGCTGACTGTCCAGAGGAGGGGGAGGTTACTGTCCCTAAAACGTGACTCCTTCCCCTTACCTCACAGAGCAAGAAGGCAGAGGCTTTGTACTGAATTGGTTGGACCATAAATGAAGATGTTCTGTCACTAGACATTTTGCCAAAACCTGAGCGTCAGTGCTGGCTCTGCTGTGGTCCCACCCGAGAAGGTCCAGGGTCTTGGGCTCAAGGGAGAGGATTGGAGTTCGGGGATGGTTGGGTCTGGGCCCAGAGGATCTCTCCAGTGACAGTGCTCCTGGGGAACCTGGGGCTCTGGGATCTTGTAACAGGTCGGTCCTTTGAGGCTGTGCCTCTGGGCGGCTCTGCTCCGTGCATGAGAAGGATCTTCAGCGGTGCTAGGACAAGCAACTGAGAAAGGCACTCTTTGCCCCTCCTGCTCCCCTTGCCATCATGGGAGCAGATCTGTCTCTACCTGTCTGGACTCACCATCCTAAAGACCCGGCAGTTCTTCCCTTCCGGACCTTCTGTAAGGGCACATGCCACCCTCCCTGCCTCAGACCCCTCCTCTGGTCACAGCCCAGCCCTTGCAGCCATCATGGCTGCTAGAAAAGAGTTACGGAGTTGCCACCGGGGCTGCGGCTGCTTCTTCCACTCCAGCTCAGAATCAGAGACGCGCCCTGTGTGCAGCCTGCCGTGCCGCCCACTCTGTTCCCGCATGTGAACTTGGGGCGGGGCTGGTTTTCCACGCATTGCTGCCTCCGTGCCCCCAGCCCCTCCTCAGACCTCTGCGGGCCTCTCTGGGTTTCTGTAGCTTCCTTCGCTTTCCCGTCTCTCTTCTCACAACCCCTTCAGTAGCTCTCCGCCCTGGATGTGCATCAGGATCAGCAAAGAAGCCTTACAAAATGCAGATTGCAGGGCTCCATTCCTAGGGGTACTAATTTCTTCATTTGGGGGTGGGAATTGAGCAACTGTATTTATTTTCTATAAATGCTAGAGACTTATGATTAATAGCACATGATGAACATGAGACTGGGCTGAGAAATGAGGATGCCCCATGCTCATAGCTAGTCCATCATTTGTCATATGATGGGGTCTAGCTATTATTTAATTATGCCTGCAGTCTCCAAGAAGCAATGACTAAGGGTAGTGGCGCAACATAGATGTATGACTCATTACCACTCTCACCATCCTTCTCCCAGACATCCTTAAATGCAGAAGTGTTCATTACAATATCCTACATGTTCCTTTCATGACAATTGTCAAAGTTTTTGTTTGATATGCATATTAAAGCTGGAGTCACAAATAATGACCTGGAAACAAACTCCTATTACCAAGCCAAAATGCACTAAGAGCTAAAACTTCCACAGAACCTGGGCTGTAGATAGCCAGGTAACACTGGGTATCCCATCTATTTTTGTTTACAAAAGTGCTGCCTTGGCCAGGGGCGGTGGCTCATGACTGTAATCCCAGCACTTTGGGAGGCCGAGGCAGGTGGATCACCTGAGGTCAGGAGATCAAGGCTTAGCCTGGCCAACATGGTGAAATCCCGTCTCCACTAAAAATACAAAAAATTAGCCGGGCATTGTAGTGAGCACCTACAATCCCAACTACTCGGGAGGCTGAGGCAGGAGCATCGCTTGAACCTGGGAGTTGGAGGTTGCAGTGAGCCAAGATTGCGCCATTGCACTCCAGCCTGGGCGACAAGAGTGAAACTCCATCTAAAAAAACAAAAGAAAAGAAAAGAGTGCCACCTTGTTTAAGAAGACAAGTTGTTTTCTTAAAGTCTTACCCGAAAATATGGATCTGAATTTGGCCAACAATTTCACATTAGCTGGGGTATGAGTAACACGATGTGTATGGTCTTTTCAGCCAAATGTCGATCTGCTGTGCGGAACCAACAATCCTTAATCCGCTGTTGTTCTTTCTCTATAGAAGCAGGTTGGGGTTGGCTCTCCAGGAGCCTCACTGTGACATCTCTTCATGGTGACGCTTGGGGGCCCTAAGCTCCTGAGAGTCTCGGGGCCTGGAACTGTGCCCCATCACTGACCACTGATGAATTCTGTGCCAACCCTCAAACCAGGGGTGATGTGTTTCTCCCTCCAGAGAAAAAACTGCTGGGAAAGGAACTGAGACTATGACCATATCCATCCTAGAGATATTACATATATATCTGAATGAATCACTGTCAAAGAAAGTGATTTTTTTCATTTATATTAAGTAAGTCTTGTCCAGGCATTGTGATGGAATATAAAGAGGTAATTTCACATACACTTGAAGTACACATGTACACATGAAATTTATGAGAGAATCTCATGTACACTTAGGGTCAGTGCATTTTTCTGTAGGTATATTATAGGGCAATAAATATATTTTAAATATTAAAAGAAACAAGTATAAAGATAAATTACTTTGGCCATATGCTATATTTTGTTTTTTTCTGTTTGGGGATGGGAGACTTTGATTCTATTCGTCCCAATGCCATATGGGCGGGCTTTCTAGTGGCAGCTCCAGTAGGCAAGGTTTCACGTTTGTGTTTTTGTGAGCTTCTTTCCATCTGCATAAGGTTTTCAAGGTTTTCAAGGTTCATCCATAGTGTAGCGTGAATCCGCACTTCATTCCTTTCTTATGGGTGAATAATATTTCATTGTGTGGATACACAAGGTCTTCCTAGACTTCCACGTGAGATCAGTTCATTAACTGAGCTGCAAGACTGTGAACACTGACATGATCTTGCACAACTGCTACAAAACCCCAATCCAAGTCTCATCACAGACTTCCCCTCACCCAAGTACCACCCACGTTGTTTTGGCAGCTCGGCCTTGCTGGTTTGAAGGAGCAGCACACTAGGGAAGGCAGAATTCCACTCTGGTTG